TAATATTGATAGTATTTAAATAAATAAAAATAACTAATCATTTAAATGAAACATTAAGTTGTACTAAAAAATAGGACAAAAAAAATTGTTGCAAAATCATTTCCCAAATATACATGTGGGGCAAATAAAGTCAGAATGCCTTGATAGGTAGATTCACTTTCACCTGCAAAATTATTATATTATTACAGAGGTCATGGTAAGGTATCCGATTAACAGAAGCCAAAAAACCAAAAATCTGATTCTTTCGCCAGAATTCCATGGAAGAATCTTATTCAGATTCCACAATATTGGCAAATTCAATGTGCCATGCAAATAAATGTCCAAGACACATAAATACTATCACTGTATTTACTATTTAGTTTGTCCAATTTTATCAGTCTATAACTAATTAGAGTATTTTAAAACATCAATAATAAACTGATTTTAATTTTTTAAATAATACATATAAAAATCAATTACCCAACAACCAAGACTAAATACAATTATAATATTTTTTTTTGTGGCCATAACCATGCCCTTCAGGTGAAAAAGACTTGGGTTGAAGTATTCTTCCCCCTGTAGCAAATGTCTTGTTGTTAAACAGATGGCAATATTTTGATTTATAAGAGATAGGTAAGGTGGTGAACCACATCTGAGGCCAACCACCTACAATTTCTAAGCTGTAAACCAACTTCTGTTTCTGGACAGACAAGGAGAAAGAAATGGCCCTGTCCTGATTTGGGGCATAATATCCATATTCTCTAACTTCCGCCTATTACTCCTTTCACTCCTTTCATTCCAAAATAATAGATTTATTATTATTATTTTTATCTTCATATTAAATATGCAAGAATCACTTTTATTTTTAACTATTTTACACTTAAAAAATAAAATAAAAATAAAGAGATTTTTTTATAATAAGATGAATAATCAAAGTTAAAAAATAATAATAAAGTTAAAGTAAAAAAAGAAATGTCTCCATTGAACTACAAAAGAATATATTATTCTAAGACATATTCTAAACTAAAAAACGTTTATTATTCTGAGACAAAGCAAATGGCACTTATAGTGACAAAATTTCAATAATTGCACAGAATTTTCAACTCCAATGATGGGAACATAAAAATATAATGGCACCATGGCAAACATCATAATTAAACATTCCCAGAAGTAACTTAACTCTATTCTAGAAATAGTGCCGTAAGCAACGCCTTGGTTCAACGAGGCAAGCAGGCAAGTGTTTGATTGCAGTCAATATCAAGGCAATAATAGCAAGGAAATGTTTTAAAATACCTCAAAACTCAGCATGTTTGTTCAAAAGTAAGGAAGTTAAGATGGTTGTGGGATCTTAATCTTTATTTACTTTTGACATCCATTCCTGTGACCATAGGAAGTTACCATATGCTACTCATGCAAACTATGAACAAGCAAAGCAAAGTATGAAACAATTCTTATATCATAACCACATGGGAACTACAATTCAATTGTAGGTTAAACTTGCTGTCAAAGGTCTAGGTCTGATTGAACAATATTAAAGCAAAGTACCTGTATTTTGACATTAGCAATTGTGGTGATTGAACATGAAGTATACTTCAAAAATTGAAAGCAGAGGCCAAAAATGCTTCAATAGCACCGAAGCTCCTAAACTTAGCAATTAGTTGCTCCCACCGCCAAAGCTGTTGCCAATTCTCCCTTCTGAATTACCTCTCCAGAATCAAAAAGTTTACCTCTAATTGTTGAGCTTTCACATCTCAAAACTGAATCAAGAGAGGAACTACTATTTGCCATCAATCACAAAACAGCAAAAAAAATTTCCACACTGCTGCTCTTTACATATTCCGGAAAAAGACTTCATATTTACCACATGAACTACTTGGATCTTTTACGTGGTTTCTTGGGTGTAAGTAAGATGGGATGCTCTGATTCTTCATCATCACTGTCAATCTCGTTGGGAGTATGTCTATTTTGGTATGCTCTGCGCTGCAAAATGAAGACGTTGAAATAATAGCTGACAAGATCTTCCCTGCTTTTGTTAGGAAGATGCTTGTCAATTTGCTCCCAGAAACAATGATCAAGGGACAGAGAATTGGACTTCATCATAGAGTCAAACAGCCTCTGATCTGCACTCTTCCAATAAATTGCAACTTCTTCACCCATCCTATGAAATTTCCACAGGTAGAAAGCTGTACCCAATTCAAGCTTCACCCTTGACTTCTTCTCACCAATGTGAAATTTCACACACTGAATAGAACCAGGGACTTGGCAGCCACACGACTCTTGTCTTCCCCTTCCAATAGGATCCCTTTCAATAAGAACCCTGTGATCCTTTTTCTCCAGAGGCCAAACCCGAGTACCCAACCACTTAGGTTCGCTTTCATAGTTTGAACCAGTCCATTCTGGCAGCTCAGCCTGGAAATCTGGCCCAATGGGAATTTGGTAGTCAATATCATAGTCAAACACTGAACCTGAAGAAGGGGAATCACTGGATCCATCCACTTGGTCACCAAAACCAGCTGGGCAATCAGTTTGTTTGCTTGAAGAAGCAAGTGTCTTCGATGTTGTTTTCCCTGAAAGGAACTTCTTGGAGCGACTTAACCTTTCTCTAAGATTATAACCAGAACCAGTTTGATCATCATACATGCAAGGATGCATTTTCTGCACTTTCTATGAAGTAGAAGATGAAATGATTAATACAAATGTCAATGAAGGAATAAAAATGCAAATGAGGGAAATTCAAGACAAATGGAAATAAGATTGGCTTAGATATTACACAATAGAGTTATAAACAGAGAAAATAAAGGCTTCAGCAACAACTAAAGATCAGCTTTTAAAAAAAAAAAAGCCCTTCAATTTAGGGGACTGTGTTATCTATATATTCTCTGCCTGTCAAAATTTGCAATTGATTGATTGCCTTTTAGATTAGATACTGGTCTTACAAACCCTTCCATTACAGTCAATTACAGAGCTATAACAATTTACAGATAATTGAATGATAAGTGGATTAATGTCACATGCTACATTCTAATAAATAATATCCTTTTCAAGACAAGTAACCACTAGAGGGAAACAAACAAATCTAGGACAAACAGAATCTTTGATTCACACACCATAACTAAGAACTAGAAAAAGAAATCGTTATACACCAAAGCAGGAAACAGAAAGTAGTCCAGACTGAAAAACTGTAACTTTGGTAAGACTATTAATCAATTTTAGGCTTCATTCAAGCCTAAGCTTTTGAGTTGTTATCTTGAGTTAAGCTAAAGTTTCTCAATAGTTGTCCCTGACTTAACTAGCTTTAACCATAACAGGTTACAGGTGCCATTTATATTGGTCCTTCACTTAATGGTGCAAGCAAAGGATGGCAATCTTTTCAACAGAAATATACCTGCCACTGGGATTGCTCAGCACTTGAGTCACCGTATCTTGCTGTAAATGCAACTTCTCGAAACAATAATATCTGCTTCCAAAACTCATCTCTACTATAAGAATTCCACTTTGACCTCTCCGGTAATGATCCTACAATTGGATCACAAGGATTAGTTGCAACCTTAGTGACCCAATTCAGCATCCCTGACATGCAATCTCGCTTCCTCTTATGAGAACAAGGTTTTTCCTCACTATCACTAATAGCACATGTCTTGCCTTCACCACAATCTTCTATTACAATATCCTTCACATCAGCCACCACATTATCAACCTCATTTTGTAACTTCCCAACGTCTCCAAAATCCAAAGCCCGCTGAGTTGAAATATCTTGCAATTTTTCACCACCATTAACACTTTCCTTAGATGCATCTGAGTTCGAAAGCAAACTTGCTTCCAACAATTGAGTTTTCTCAACATTGTTCTTCTCAAGTTTGGATAAGTAACCTTCAAGGTCTTTGCTCAACCCCATTAAGATTCAAGGTCAGTATTACTCTACTTTCCTTTTTAATCCTTTACTTTCAACAAGTCTTTCTAACAGGACTTCAAATTCTCCAATTACTTTACATAAACCAACTTGACTGATGAGGCTGTGATCAAAATCAAACCCAATGCACACCCTTCCGCCACCGAATCCCACAACCTATTTCTCGAAACAACATCCACCCCTCACAGTCAAGAGCAACTTACCGGCTACCCATGTCCCAGCATCGGAGGAAATGACCAAAAGCGATCTCTGGCATGGACCTCTTCCAGAAAAGATCCCAGTAGCTCATCAAACATGCACTGAAGTTGGTGAAATTCGAACTCCAGACCAGACCCAGATGAAGGCGGTTCAATGTCAATCAAGAACTCGTTGGGCTCGAGTTTCTCTGCCGCCCTGACGCAACCCAGATCGACTCCGTCCGCTGCCTTCGACCACCCTGCCATGGATTCGAATTCAATCCCTATAAAGAGAGGTGCTGAATGTAATCTTATACTATCAACAACAACAACAACTAAATGCACGCAAAACAAAACAACACGCAAAACCCAAACAGAACACTAAAGAGATTCAGATTCAAACCAACTTAAACAGAGTTCCGATTAACAACCTCCTCCTTGCAGGAAAGTAGAAATATTTGGCGGGAAGAGACCTAATCTAGGGTTTTGAAGATGGGTTTCCCGCGCTTTCCCTCCCTCCCTCCCATCCCTTGGTTGCAGGTACAAAAGCGAAGGAGAGAAAGAGAAGGAAAAGAAATGGGGCCAATTCTGCAGTTTCGGAGAGATAGAGACCCTGGTCTTGAAAATCCTAAAATCTCTATGACGTTTAGATTTTTTGAGAATTTGGGTAGAAAAGAGAGTGAAAAAACAGAGACACATACATACCTGTGGATTTGTGGGTTTTTTATGGGTGTGGGTGTGGGGTTTGGAATTCGAAAGACTCTACCTTGACCCTTTTTCTCTCTTTGCCCTTCTTCTTTACCTTTGTACACCTCTGCCCCTCTCCCTTTCTCTCTTTTCTCTCTAGGCCTCTTCTTGGGTAGTAAAATAAAAAAGGTCGAGTGACCCAAATATGTGCTTTGAGGGGAGTTTTGATTTAGGGTTTCAAAAGGTTTGACACCACCCCCCCCCCCCCCCCCCCCCCCTTTTATCTTTGTTTGTTTTGACTCATGATTATCTAACCTTGGTTAATTTTTAACCATGGGTTAGGAATTTGAGATGGATTGGTGTCTTTGTGTTTTGGATTGGGAGGAAAAAAAAGCTTTTGGGGAATTGAAAAGGTATTCAAAGTTTAGAATGGTTTTCTTCTTCTTGTAAATTTTGAGGGATTTTATTTTTTTTTTTTAATTTGTTGGTGTACTTTTGACATAAATTATGAGTGTATTAATTATATTTAAATTTATATAATAAAATTTTATTTTTAACATTAATGATTTATGCACAATTTTAATTAAATAATTAATAAAATTAAAATTAATTTTTATTTTTTATAAAAATTAATAAAAAAAATTTTATAATTAATGTATCCTTAACCAAGTACAGGTTACTTTTAAGTAATCCTTAAAGTATAATCAATAATTACTTTTAAGGACTCTAACTTGGTAGAGGGAATTATCTACGCTTTTAGAAGCTAGATTAGCAGATGAGATTACTTAATAATTTAAAATGCTTGTAATTGTAATCCTTTTTTTTTTTTTTTAGCAGCTCTGGCTATGCCCGCTATGTTGATTGCTCTAGCAAATTTTAGTGACAAATGCATATCTTTACTTAATCATTTAGATCTATTTTATTACTGTCGTAGATTTAGTTTCTTTTATTATAGAAGAATTATTAACGTAATCATTTTGTTTTATTAATAAATTTCATTGTATGCTTCTAAGAAGGTGATTCAACTAGTTAGAAGTTACATTTCAAGCTAGAAATCCAAAGTCGTTAAACTTTAAATTAGGTAAGGAAGAATTCGGGAAGAGGGAGAATTATTATTTTTTGTATAGCATATCATCAAATATACAAAAAAAAAAAAAAAAAAAAAAAAAAACTTCTAAGAAGAAGAAAAAATTAACAAATTAAGTATCTTTTTATTAAAGTAAAGGTTCATCAATTTGAGTGGTAAGATATGTAAAGATATTTTTCTGTTATTTACGGTTTGCAGCCTTATATATTTTTATTTAGTACATTCAAAAAATTTAATTTTTTTAGTATTAGTTTTAAATTTTAAAATTTAAATTTAATTTATAAAATAATATTTATTTATCAATAAATTTAATATTAAAATTATGCAAAAATATTATGATAGATTTTTTCAAGAAAAAAAAAAAAGAGAGATAATATTATGATAGAAGAGAAACTGCTTCCCAACATGAAGTTCCTCCCCACCAGAAAATATATAATTGAGAAGATGTGAGGACCACACCTTAGAGCCTTCAATTTATTTCTAAGTTAAGATATGTATTTTTTTAAGGATAATAATATAAAAATAATTTTTATAT